GTGAACCATGAATAGTTACCAAATCCAGTCTACAGTCGTAGGAGAAACCTTCCCAAACCATTACGGATCCCCCGCCAAATGGTACTCTTGACAAAATGTTCCTGGGGGCAAGACGTGTTTTCCTAGTCCTCCATACGCATGATCTCCCATCAACAGCATGCAGGAGGAAACGACTTCGTCGCTCCAGTGTATTCTCCTCCATGATCCTAGGTCCCCCCTCTGCCTGTGCTCACACCATAACCTACGCTGGCGCTTTGTGAGCTGTGGACGCCTAATGGCCCTTCTGGCTCCTAATCCAGCAGCTTTGAGGCGGTTTCTCACAGTCTGGTTGCTCAAGCGGCGATGAGGTAAGCAGGCCTGTTTCAGAAGGGTGTTTGAACCACAAGGCTGGCGTCTAACATGCCGTAACAGAGCTCGAGCCTCCTGGGGCGTGGTAGCTTTTTAGTTTTCGAGAACAGGGAAGGTCCTTTACATCATTTGTTTGTACATGCTTCCCCACCAGACGGCTTATTACGGTGTAGTGAAACTGGGTTCTTCTTACAATTTCCTTGTAAGAAAGTCCTGCCAGATGAAGTCCAATGATCTGCCATCTCAATGCTTCGGAAATTTCTCCTTCGTTCCATTGTCAATCAGAAAAGCAAAAAAAAATGATAATGAAGTCGATACCGATGCTTAAATACCCAATGCTTGTGGTTGTTTGAAACTTTGGTGTGGCGGGATTCACGTGCATGTGCATGGCTGCGTTCGTGAGAGACATTTTCCAATAAGTAACATCTTATTTTATCACCAATATACCACTATTTGATTTGCCATCATGACGATTGAAATTTGGTTTCAACATATACCGATAATTCAGCTTTTATTTATTTATTTTTTTTTGGGGGGGGGGGGCTTAACTTTTTTGCTGTGTATATAAACTTTTGCAAAGACTAACTTTTTAAATAAGTTATTTGACGGAAAATGATGTTATTTAGAGATACGCAATGAACATTATTTGATAATATTGAATATTCAGGGGCCAAAACCATTAATACATTAATAAGGAGATGTAATAAAGGTCGATTAAAAACCACAAATTCTCCTGCGGCTTCCATGAACCCACCGTCGCTTTAATCAATCAGACACGTACTATTCAATAATAAATTCCGCAACTGCTGAGATTTAGGCCTATTTCACCGGCAGTCCAGATCTTTAAACTACCTACCCACCGATTGGAAATATATATATATACCCATGCAACCCAGAGCATTATATATTTTAACTAAACATTATAATGTTTCGATATACTGCAAGCGGAGCCTTTTAGACCATATACCACGCGGTACACTTCCAACCAAAGAATGAAAGGGCGCTTGTGGCTAGTAGCTAATATATCAACGACATACTTGGTGATAGAAGATCTGTAATAACAATCGTATTTAATTTATAGATAAAAACTGGAATCCATGATTTGGTTGACCAAATTTGACGAAAAAACATGGTCGACATCTTGATTGCAATTGTGGCATCTGACATTCATGCAGAGGTGTAACTCGCGTGATAAAAAGCCAGCGAGAAGATAAAAAAAAAGCTTATGAGAAGTTTATTCAATTCTCACAATTTCTTCTGACAAAGCTTCCATAACTCACTACGTTAACGGTGTTAAAAGAATTGGAGATAAAATAGTCGTTTCGATACATATCGACAGTAATTCTGCAATGCATAAATCACTTACTCCTGGGAAACAATTAAAGCTGATAAAAGAAATCTGTAACACTACCAATTTATGGGACGATGAACATATAATAGATATTTTACATTAGAAGTTTCTTTCAAGCTTTCTGAACGCCAAAAGGTTTGATAACTGCCTCAGGATCATGTGGGAAATGAAATCAAATGAAATTGGGTTTAACGTCCTACTATTCCGCTCTGACTGGGCTGATGAAGACGTCCATACGCCATACAATGTGCTATGAGGTACATTTTGCCAACTGCCAAGGGATCTTTTACGTGCATGCTAATGTATACACGGGACCTCGGTGTTTTGTGCCATCCGAACCACTAGACTGCTGTCCTTGTCAGGTCCTCCGTCCTGCACCACTGACAAGGAGAAACCGCGTCGAAAAATCCTGATGTGGGTGTATTCATGGTTGGTTGAGAAGATACATAAATGCTGAGAAATATGCTATATTCTTATCTGGGGAGCATGCGCAATAAATATCATCGGTGTAGACTGGAATAACCAGACGCTAAAGATTGCCATTCAATTGAGACTTCTGGCGTATTTCGCCGAACATAACTGATTAGAAATTACAGTAAAAACAAAAACGGTTGAATGTAAATCAGTTTCTATACATTCACATTACATTATTATATGCGTTGCTACCCATTTGTGTCAATTTCTAGGTCTCAAATATTAGCGATTTTAGCTCCTTTAAAAGAGCAATTAACAAACAATTTGTTCATAAAAGTGACATCTGCTTGTAACTTTCAATTTATCGTTGCTTAAAATTTTAACGTATTTGAAGCCCTATTTCATAGAGTTGTCTCATCTTTGATACTTGTTTTCCTTCGTCTTATTAAACTAATAGATATGCTTTCCTTTCAGCAGTTATAATAAATATAGTATTAATAATTAAATTGATGTTATCAATATATACCATCTACAAATTATATTCTATCAATCTAGATCTGCCTCAACTTCCTATAGAACATCATTAATTTGATGGCGCATCATTCATTGCCAGAGGCTATTAATGTTTGCTTATATAATAGCTATCCACTATAGATACTTGTACACCGCCATTGATAAAATATGAATAATTAAAGAAACCCCCTATTGTGATTACGTCATACTCCTCTTATGGTGACATCAGTTCCATATTTCGGTCTTTATAATCACCCCAAAAAAGAATCTGGCAATTATTCAGTGTATAAAAAGCCTAGAATATATATCAATATATATAATATACACACACATTATACTAAACAGTAACATGGTATACGTCCATATATCATTTTATTACACTGTATATATATATATATATATATATATATATATATATATAAACCATATAACAGGTATTGATTCAATGTAATTATTAAGCTATAAATAGAAAACTGTATTCATCGGATATTGTTTTGTTAATGGCTTTGTGCAAGTTTCATTACAATGAAATTAGTGTTGGATGAAATAAAAAAGATACTATTTCCAGTATATAAATAACTAATATCACATAAAGTGGCTTTTTTTATGACAGATCAGAAATTGTACATTTTATACATGGGTATCATTATGAATTACATAGAGATTACAAATTATATTCTGGAAATTTAATTAAAAATATGTCATTGTTTATTTTTTTTTAGGTAAGGAACGAATTGAGAAACATAAGTTTTGTAACCTGCCAAATGACAGATAAAGCTGCATGACCGACCAAAGAAATTTAGTGAAGATTTTTCGGGAACCCCTTTAGTCACTGCCACAAGAACACAAGACAGAGACTCGAATGGAGGATCCATATTCAATACAACTTTTGTACGTGTGTAAATTAAAAGCAAAGGAACGCAAATATGAAATGAAATGGGGTTTAACGTTCTACTTTTCTGCACCGACTCGGCTAATGATCACGGGTCGCAAAATATGATAATAACAGTACACAAACGCTGGTTCAAGTAGGTGTACATTAGATTTGAATCGCGATATGGAACTATAAAATGAAGATTGTGAACTTGCTAACAATAATCCAAATATATTATTTCGGGATATATTTTTTTGTATCTAGCAAATAACCGTTTTTATTTTTATTTTGTTTTTGCATTTGTTTTGATGTAGCCCTTTCTTCCATTTAAAGCATACACCAAAGTATACAGATAGACCCATCAAGGTAGCCGAGATAATAGTCTGGGCAAGCTTGTTCATCATCTAGTGGCATAAAATAATGAGTTCTCGACAGCTTTGGTTAACTGTTTTATTTAACATCTAGGCATTTTGTTTCAGCCAATTATTTAGCCAAGTTTCTCACTTAACAGGTGCGGTAAAGTACCACCTTAGTCTGTCCTCTCAGTAGAACGACGTGCACGTTGAACATTATGTAGAAATCTCCGCTTTAGGTATATCCCGTGTAGAATAACCGGTCCGTCCTTTAACCATTCAAGTTCATTTTTTTTTTCCTTTTTGCTTATTATAGATGGATAAACATGGTCGACGGCCACTTGAGCATGAATGCAATGTGGTTAAGCCTCTTTGAAACTGTTATTTTGAGGTTAATATACGCTTTATAATTCCTGCTTTACGCTCGCTGAGCAGCTACGTTTGACGTCAAGGAATATTTAACGTACTATGCCAATGAGATGCCTCTGTGTGAAGATATACATACGTCATCCATTGCCTTGGAGTCATTGTGATTCCAATTAACAATTGCATTTCTTTGTTTATTGAAAAAAAATATATATAAAGCCGTTTTCTCTACTCCAGTACGTTTCAAAATCTGAAAGAGATTTTATTGACTTGGATACAATAATAAGACATGTGCTATTATCATATCTTGTAGTGGGGATTAAACTTGTATCAAAGTGAGTTTAGTGGATTTTTTTGCCGCCATGAGGGGATCTGGTACGTTTAAAAACAGCAAATCGCTGTATTGATTTCCTCATACTCATCTTATACTGCGAGATCTGGTGAATTCCGCTTGTTAAGTCGCCGGTGATTTCTATGTGTAGCGGTATCTTTCTGTATACAAACGAGGATTGACTATAGGTATTCATACCGCTGTACTAGTAATATTCCGATGCTCATTTCATGGTTTAATTAAGCGTGCAGACCCCATTAGGCAACTTACAACTATCAAATTCATTGACACCCGTCAGAAGTGAGAAGCTCTTCTATCTACCATGTAAGACGAATTGTATTGAATTTTGTATAGGAGAATGCTAATTATGCAAACATCACACACGACTCGGCTGAATTACGCAGACGATCGATAAGATATACTGCCTAACGCTGCTTCCACTAACCTTCTACCACTACTGTTCGCTTTCCATAATACACGCGCGCCTGGATCGTGTAATGGCGTCTGCCCGGATTTTTCAACAGCAGATATCGTGTGCAGCTTGGTACAGTATCCAGGCAGTGGAAAGATGGAGATATGTATGAAGAATTTGTGGTGAATTAATTGGATACTATGTGAAAATTGGAATAGCAAGATTGGATTTGTTGATACGTGTTTTGTACAAATATTCTGGGATTAGAATGTAGTTAATCTAAAACTAATCGTCTATGCGAATTGAGCTGTAAGTACGAGTGTGTTCGTGTTTCAATACGCTTTATGCATGGTTTGTGTGGTACCTAATGGAATAGAGCTTTAATCCAACACAAGTCGTAAAGAGATATCTATCATTTTCTTTCTCCTCTTCCTTCGTCTTCTAATTCTTCAACTTAATTCTTCAAAATTGTTTTTATACAGGATTTAGATCTTTTATCGTCGAAGGGGAATAGTATGGCGTCCGTCGCAGCCTGGTTGCCGTTTGCGCGAGCATCGGCCATCGGATGGGTGCCCATAGCGCAACACCCCCTCCCCCCACCGATGGTAAAAAACGAACACAGACGGGGGGACGAAAAACTCTTCTTCAACGTCAGTGGACGGAAGTTTGAGACATGGCGCACCACCTTGGAAAAATACCCGGACACTCTCCTGGGTTCCAATGAAAGAGAATTCTTTTACGACGAAGAGATCAAAGAATATTTTTTCGACAGAGATCCGGATATTTTCCGGCATATTTTAAATTACTACAGAACTGGAAAGTTACATTATCCGAAACATGAATGTATAAGTGCATATGATGAGGAATTGGCGTTTTTCGGCATCATGCCGGATCTCATTGGAGACTGTTGTTTTGAAGACTACAAAGACAGAAAACGAGAAAATTGTGAAAGGTTATTAGATGACAAAGACTCCGAAGCCGGGGACACTAACCCAGCTGGTAATATACGGGAGAAAATGTGGAGAGCTTTTGAAAACCCCCATATAGGTACAACGGCATTAGTATTCTATTATGTAACTGGTTTCTTCATTGCCATATCCGTGATTGCTAACGTTATTGAAACAGTGCCGTGTGGGGTACTCCCGGGGACTAGGATAAATCCACCATGTGGCGAACGATTTCATGTGGCGTTTTTCTGTCTGGATACGGCATGTGTAATGATCTTCACCGCTGAATATCTGTTAAGAGCCTATGCTGCCCCGGACAGGTGTAAATTTATGCGAAGTGTTATGTCAATCATTGATGTGGTCGCCATTTTACCTTACTATATTGGTCTCGTCATCACAGACAATGATGACGTCAGTGGCGCTTTCGTCACACTTCGAGTATTTCGTGTTTTCCGAATCTTTAAGTTTTCCCGTCACTCTCAAGGATTACGTATTTTGGGTTATACCCTCAAAAGTTGTGCTAGTGAGCTCGGCTTTTTACTCTTTTCACTAACAATGGCTATAATCATATTTGCTACAGTTATGTTTTATGCAGAAAAGAACGTTACGAATACAAAATTTACCAGTATTCCAGCAGCGTTTTGGTACACCATTGTTACCATGACGACATTAGGGTGAGTATGCTTTTCTAATTATTGTGAAAGTATCGGATGATTCCCCTAGTTCAAAAGAACTCAGCCTGATTACTATCATCCTTACATACGATACACAGAAACATACTATACACTATGCAAGACATAGCTTAACCAACAATGCAATATAAAGATGAAGACCTAACCTGAGCTCCCTTGCTGCAAGCACCATCGTGACAGCACATGCGTAGCCTAAACATCCATATCCACATAAAATTACATAATAAAAATTGATTGCACAAAGCCTATTAGCACCTACCATATGACAGATTTATTCATAAATATTAGAAAGGTTGTCTACACTTTACCTTTTTAATTTGTGGGGACCAAAGAGAAGCATTAACCTAACTATACAAAGTCTGTCCATCTTAGTGTGCAATTACAAGGTTCCCAATAAAAGTAAATGAAAGGGTAATAGAAAGAAAACTTTAGAAAACAGATTATTACTGATGTACTTTGATATTTCAGATTTAGTTCACAACAGCCTATTTACAAAGTATAAACCCCTCTGATTCCCATACCATACTCTACCCCCTCCCCAACAATTATTGCTCTTAGAACCAATGGTGGGCAATTCACACCAATCCCCTATCACAGCTGGAATAAATTAAAACTAGCCGTGTAGAATAACGACTCATTCATATGTACATAAATTATGAACCCGCTTCTTTAATAATTCATAAACAACTCGTAAACTTTTATAATCATCTTTAATCGCTCAACAACGAAGGTTTAATAATATAACACGAGAATAAAGCGAGTGTGGAGTTTGTTATATAGCATAAAATCAGCCCTAAAACAATACACATATATAGGAACAAGGACCTGGGGCATGTTTTCACTGTTCAGCTTTGTGAACAAACTATGAATTCTGTTGCGATTATTCACATGTTACCACACTCCCATTAATTATTGTGTTAAAATAATAACCACAACCGCAACCGCTAACCTTAAATACCCAGTCGTTCATGAGAGTTGGAAGTAATAAAGTAATATAGTAATAAAGCAAGTTCAGGATCATTGAATCGGAATTAATAGTTTGTAACAATTTAACGCGAGGTCCTCGAAAATTCGCTGCACTTGTGATACATGGTTATTCCGTCACTGATGGGACTATAATTCGATATACCCAGATTTTACCCATAAAAGAGATGAAGCTTATTTGAACATATGGCGAGAAATAGCTTATCGTTACCTATTTAATTCTATACAACATTATAAACCAATATACTTTATAAATATCGATATTTGTATATTCTAGACAATACACTGTTTTAACAATAAAACGAGACTACAATATACGATAGCTTGCTTGCATCACTGGGATAATTTTACTTGATGCTCAAACATTTTATTGCAAATAATCGCCATTTTGAAAATGTATGTCACATTCTTATTGCAGACATTCGAAAAGTATACCTTAATGTGCATGCAATTGATTTTAATGAAATCGTTTGCCTCAGAATTGCGGAGTCCTTGTGGCTATATCGTGTGGAACATAAGCATATATTATTTTTAGTCATATTATCATCAAATTGAATATCGATCGCTTCTGAAAATATGACATTGGATCGTTTCGTGGGTGATTAAGTACAAAACGAACAATATATTGAAATTAGTTTTGCCATCTCTATCATTTTGTGTTATTTAAATAGATAGCCTATAATTTTATGTCGAAATACTCTAGTAAATATCATGTTAACTTAGAAAGATTTTACCTACGGTATTCCAGATACAGGTTATAATAAAGAAATAAAAAAATTGGAGAGTGATTATATAATTATTGCTCTGAAAGATTGTTAATGTACCATTCCATAATATAATATCCATTACCCTTTTCAAATTTATTGCAACACGTGCATCAATGATAAAATGGAATATCGATTAATGAATGATATGGACTATATGCATGTATCTATATGTTATCAATTAATCTTTCCGAATGAATTTAATAATTGGTAACATTATGCGAAATGCTCAACATATTCTGGCACTATTTTTGAAAAAGATATAATATTGAGTCTCTTTGCTTCCCGTGTACAATTCTTTACATCTATACTTCTAGAACATAGCATGAACGAACAGACTCGAGTAATTCCAAAATTCTAAACAGACAAAAATTGACATATTCTGTTCTAATTGTTAATCGGGATAACCATATGATAGTCGGTCGTGTGAATAAGACCTATTTAAATAGAATCTAATTAACTAACTAACAGGTTTAAAACGCCGTGTAATATACAACATCAACTATTGATTGACACTGATTAGAGTTCAATACATCACTAATTATTCAGTTCTGTACTCGACGTTACTGACCCGTTTCTAAGGGTTAATAGGGTCATTCTAAAATTCTGATTGTAACGCGTAAACTAAACACGAAATTAACATCTCGGCCACGTTCTTTAATTTTTTATTGGAGATTAAAAGTTACTCAGATTTTATGATGTGGAGATAAAGAAAATCTTGAAATCTTGTTTTAACCCATCAGAGTATTCGGTAACACACATTATGACAAACATTTTACAGATAGTCTAATAGAAATCCTGTTTGTGTTTTGATGTGTACAAATGGTTAAAGCACTTAAGATAACGCTTTCACTTCATAACCAACAAGATTCCCGGATACGTCGTATCTGGCTAAATCACTCAATGGATGTAAATAGAATATGCTTGGACTATCTTCATTGCATTTCTCTAGAAGCACGACTGTTGCTTGTTTGATGCTTATTCCGAATCGCACAAATTATATTAATTTCCTCCATGTTCATTCATTAAAGTAGCTCCAGTGTAACAATGTTAGGATTCGAACTTTTGGGTTAAATCACACGAGTCAAGAACATAATTTATTCCGGTAGTGGTGTTTCTTTTTGTTCTAGTAGAATTAGATTATTGTTGGAATTAATTCTTGGGTAAACTATCATACTTTCCATATTATTGTTCATGTTTCTATATTATTAGTACAATTGGACTAGGTTGTAATAAGAAACATAAATAGTCCATTGAACTATTCAAACCAGTATACCAAATAAGGGCTTGTCACTTCATATAAACATACTTATTTGGTAGGTTGTGTTTCACACAAACTCGACATTTTTAATTTTCGTTTCCTTGAATAGAATAACTGGTATTTTAATCTTCGATTCGTTAAATTTAAGAATTCTCAACAAGTCTGCCTGATACTAAAATAACCTCTTTATATGTGATATGTCTTTGATTTATAGTCTATTTATATGATCTGTCGAAACAAAGGATCATCTAACACAAAGAGCTTTTGTGTTCTTTATGGTTGTCAATTTGATATTTTTTAGGAAAAATAGTTTCGCAATTAAATATTATTAAGAGAGATTAATACAAGGTAGCTTACAATATTCTGTCAGTGACCATTGTACTGCGGTTGATGTCTAAGGATTCTAAAAAAGAGGTCAAAACTATTCTATATTTTTCGTCCATTGCAAACCCAAAAATCAACAAAAATGGGCATATGGTGTAGTCAAGGCAATCTGAGTTGGGATGATTGAGACTATTTAATTTCAATTTTGTGCAGAAGCGGGAGCTTTAGGTTTGAAGGGAATTTAGGTTCGCAAATAAAACCTGTTTAAGTATCAATTGAAACTCATTTAATCATAACGCTTCTTAACATACAGACCTATCTAGAAAGGTTTAATTTCTAAGATTAACAATTGTCTTGCAAGTTTGCCAAACTATGGTGAGAGTAATCTTGGGTTATGTAGAGATATGCATATAGTGAGTCTACTGTATGCAAGAATGTACGTACACCCATATGCACATTACCAATATATAGATAAAATAGATAAAGATACACCGTATACTCTCGCCAACACATAGTAATTAGTACCTTATGTATGCACTTTGTTAATACATTATCATTATGTGGTTTTCATGTTTGCCAATTTTCTTCCCAGAAGTAAATGATTTATAATCAAGCCAATTAACTACATAACTTAACTGTTGCGATAATTGGAATGACGTGTTCCTAATCAAATATGGAATAATAAAAAGAAAACGGTAACCCACTACTTTTGAAATATTTCCTATAGTACGTTGAAATAATAAGCAATTTAATAACATATAATTCTGACTGGGGCACAGAAAAATGGTGTGCAGTATAGACCAATGAACAACTTATTACTTTGGTCAGGTTAATGGTCAGAACATACATTGCACCAACCACCGCCCTGGAATAAGTCCGTACTTAAAGGATAGTGTGTTATTTCAAAAGAATTAGATCACTATCGAATTTGTGATTTCTTCGCAAGGGTTCTCGGCAAACCACAAATTCGATCGCATCCGATAAATTCACAAAAGCTAGTGACCTTGAATGGTCTTTATATAGTGGCTAAGTTTGCAATTGCTAATCGTAACAGTTAATGACGCCTTGAATGGTGTCTTCGTAGTGACTAAGTTTACAATTGCTAATCGAAGCAGTTAGTGACGCCTTGATTAGTCTTTTCGTAGTGGTTCAGTTTATAATTGCTACCTTTTTAAAGAAACACATGGTACCCCCCAATGTTACTAACTATAGCATCTTAATATAAATAGTGTTTGTTCTTTGAGTTGATACTAAGTATGTGCTGTGCTTGCTTTTTTTAGCTTCCCTGGTGAGTAATTTGTAAGTACTTACGACGTCATAATTAAAAAAAGTACAGAACAAGGAAATACTAAACTAACTATTTGCTATTTTTAACTCAACATATATACACACCACAATGTGTTCTGGTACCATCTATCTCAACCAACAAGATTGGTATCATAGCTGTCTATAATCGACTAAAAACTAACATTACTTAAACTAAAAATGTTACCGTTTTCTCATCATACAGTTAATACTAAATTTCAATAATATTTTGTGGTTTGACTAAAATTTGACAACAAATTAATGCCACTCATTATCAGAATAACTATTTTATTAACAATTTTAGCATTAACAAAGACTGGACATAATGTCTGGTTTTACACACA